TGTCAAATATAACATTTTATTTTATTTTATTTTTTTAAATTTTATTTTAATTTATTTTAATTATTTCACTTTGTCAAGCTTTAGTCAAGTTTCAAACCACTTTTGAACACAGACACGCCATCAACCCACACGCAAAACCTCAAATATTTTTCCACCGTGACAGTTGAGCTACACGTGCCTGCAAAAAATTTTAATACCCCATTCATGTAAAGTGAAATTAAAAATTCATATCTGTAAACACGCTCAAGAGAATGCTCAAAATATTAGTGAGCAGTAAGCAAGGGGATAAGCAAAATTGCAACACACACTCAAGTTTTGAATTAAATGTTAAGTAGCGGTATTTTACAGTAGCTGTACATTTTCCCAGAGTATTTGTTGAGGATGTCGCTTGTTGTTGTTCTTTATATAATATATTTTTCTCGTAAGTGGAATTGCTTGATTTACTTTGTGGCAGTAAAATGAAAGTGGGACAATCATTTATTTGCTGTTAAGACATCGCCATCTAGGAGTGTTGACAGTAAATATATACATACATATATTATATGTACATATACAGTTATGTTTTCTATTACATGCCAATGATCAGCACGCTATCCCGGTCAACTAACTTGTAAAAGTTGGCCATTAAATTTCAACAGCAGAACCGGAAGCAGCTGAAAACTTGTAATAACAAAGTGCACGCGCAACAAAAATGGTCGGTAAACCTGGATCAAACAATCAGCAAAGATATAAGCGTGGAGTTTTTATTATTTTTATTTCCTTTTCTCACTGCTTCTTTACGAGAAATTAGATTATTCACACTCGTGTGCACTTAAATCGTCGACTTTTGGACAATAAACAAATAGACACACGCATACCGTGCATTTACAAGTATATGTATATAGTATGTATATATGTAATGTATAACACTCTAAGCCAAAGCCTTGTAAACATTAAAGGGCAAAGCAAACACGCACAACAATATTCACATCAAAGTACATGCTTGTATATAATACATTTATAACTATATATATACCATATATACTATGTGTTGAGCAACTTGGCCCAGAAAAGAAAAACGAAAACTCTTGAAGTAAACACATTCAGACATACCCAAGTGTAAATTTGTATGACGAACGGAAAACGTCGGCACGTGTAGCGCCTGCAATTACATATATCCGTAATAGAATTTAAAACCAAGTAAGGAATGGCTAAGTTCGTGTATAACCGAACATTTCATACTCTTGCAACTGGCATAAGGTTTGTTAGGTATTTTGGGGGCTTGGAACTACTCCGATTATGCTTATCAACGAATTCGTACCCATTTTTTTTTTTTTTTTTTTTTTTTTTTTTGCCAAGGAATACGTGTAAGAAGTTTCAATAAGATATCTTAATTTTTACTCAAGTTAACGCTTACATGACACTCGGATTTAAACTCGTTTCCTTATTCAGAAGTAAGCAACCACACATCTACTGGGTGCCAGGCTATAAAGGTATCGAGGGCAATGAAATAGTGGACGAGATTGCCAAGAATGGAGTATGGCTAACATCCGAAAACTTTTGCATTGTCTATAGGACGATCTCGATGGAACCATGGCAAAGAAAATCAAAATCTTGCTCTTGTCCCGCATTGGCAAGACTACGCTGTAAGCATCTGGGGATAGTGAGGTGGCATAGTCTAAAGGAAGACTACTCCTCTAGGACCCAGCAAATGAACTCCATATAGTATCGCAAAGAACCAAAACTGGTCTATGCGTGCCTTACCAGGATAATCTAACCTAACCTATTACCATATGTCGTATGCTCAACGAAGGCATTGTCGAAAACTCGAAATCGACGTACAAAATTTTAAAATTAACTGAAGAGTAGTTATCGGAAGTTAAGCTGTAGGGGTATAAAAAGTCACATTGCTGACTGTTTTTGGATTCAAGAACTCGTAAGCTTTTGGACGGTTGCTGGTTTTTACAAATGAACAGCTTCTAATATATGTATGTAGGTATGTAATCTATAGTACCACTGGGGTTAAGAAAAACTCTAAACTAAAGTTTAGCGAGGTTACGTTGCTGTTGTTTTTGTTGTCGTTGTGCTTAAAGTTATCACATTTGCTTCATGACTTTCCAAACAACCATTACTCGAGCATTACAACATAGCATGTGGCAATGTTTGTTATGTTATGATAACGAGGTATACTAAGCTTTGTCTGGAATGTTATGATAAGACATACACGCCTCTGCGTATATATGTATGTATATATATGTATGTACAATTAAGGGCATACAAGCAAGCACGTTAAATGTAAGGTCAAAAATGTGCGCCTATTAGCTTTAATTAGTTACGGTGTGCAAACTTGCCAATATTTTGCTTTTCATAACTGTGGTTGGCCTGGTTTTTGCCCTTCTAACACCTACCCATCCGCTCCAACCAAGTAATGCGCCTTTCATATGCTTCGAAATAGTTGTAAGCCACCCTTTCACTTGCTTGGAACGCATGTGTCCTCAAGCAGTGATTCGAAATCGAAGGCAGCACATAAAATTAGGCGAACAACAACAGTAAGACATTGTGGCATGAAATTGCATATCTTCGATGGCGTAGCGACATACACACACACATATAGTATTGTAGAGCGAACTAGTAAATGGCACGAAACTGCTATAGGCATTTCTAGTAGTTGAATCAACAAAGCAAGAAGTATTTGCACACGTGTGCGCGCTCATTACACGCGCTATCGAACACCAAGCCTGCCAGCCAAGCAGTCAAGCAGCCAGCCTACTCGTTGTAAGCGGCGTCTGCAGACTCGTTTAGCGGGCCATATGCTTATTGTTATGCCCGGGTTATATTTTTTTATTATCTATATGGTATATGTACTTACATATATACTGTATATATGTATGTATATGTGTGTGCGTCTTTGTTTGATTATTTGTACACAAACCCACTTGAAGTTTTATTGATCTTTTTCAATGCGCTGCGTGAATGACGACAACATTTGTTATTGTTGTTGTTTTTTGTTATTATTATTATAATATGTGATACTTCTTTCATATTTCTTGTTTATCGGGTTATTTGGCAATCGCAGGCAATGCTAGCTGGCATTGTCGGCTTCAATGCATGCCTGTATGAACAAATATGTCTTTGTGTACGTGTGAAGGCAAATATTATTATTTTATGCGCGCGCGTGTTTATTTACGAGTTCTTCTTTATTTTTATACGCTTGCAACATGTTGTTATAGAGTATAATGATTTTGTTCACCTAACGGTTGTTTTGTAACAACTAAAAATAACCGAGTTAGATAGAGGGTTAGATATATAAAAATGAGCAGGATGATGAGACGAGTTGAAATCCGGGTGCATGGCCGCCCATCGGTCGGTCAGTCTGTCCGTGCGTTTGTCTCTCCATACTGCTGTAACTTGAGTAAAAATTGCTATAATATTTGGCTTGCGAGTTCGTAATGACGTTGCATCTTTGTGGTTAAAAAATCTGATGAAAACATGTAAAATTTTATGGTTAGTGAGATTCCTAAAGGGGTTACATGGGTTTACGGATTTCAAAAAATATACTCTTTTATTTTATCTTATTAACAAATCTCTATACCTCTAGATTTTTTTTTTTTTTTTTTTTTTTTTTTTTTTTTTTTTTTTTTTTTTTTTTTTTTTTTTTTTTTTTTTTTTTTTTTTTTTTTTGTAATGTTCAAGTTGATCCGAGGAATATTTTCGGAGATATAAACTTGAGAACTTGTGCGCTCGATGCTAGCTAGGTTAATTGCGCCGTCTTTGAACGAGTTTTTCTCGAAACTGTGAGTTTTGAAGTCGGTAAGCACGATTTCCCGAGTACTACTCAACCGATCTTCATGTTTTTGACGTACAATTCTTAAAGACTTGGACGAAG